TGCTTATGTATACATCCTTCCTGGATAAAGTTCAAAATCCTTCTGCTTGGAATTCAAGGTACTTTACAATCTGGCCCTATCGTCTACTTATTTCTCAGAACTCCCCTGGGAGGTTTTATACCTTCCAGGGTTGTTGTGAAGATCAGGGAAGATAAATGTAAAGATAACTGCAAAGCACTTAGCGTGGTGCCTGGCACAAAGTAAGCACTATGTAAATGCTAGTTGTTATGATAATTATGAACTAGACAAAATAAGCTCCTTGAGGACAATGGCCATGACTAATGTTTCCTTGCAGCTCTCCAAAGGACCTAGCACTCTTACATAAGTCAAGGATTCCTCAATAGTAAGTAGATCTACAAACTGGATGCTGCCCCCTCTCCATTTCTACCCCCCCTCCTCAACACCTTCATACCACTGCTAGTTAGTCATTATTAGGACTTTAGGGGACTGAGAAAAAAAATCAAAAGTTGCTTCTCGTTAGAAAAAGACTGGGACTTCTGCAGGAGGTGTTCAAATTCTGACTGATGGATCCCCACTCACCGTCACACCAGTCTTGGTCTGGAGCTTCTCCAGCTTCCCCTCCTGCCGCAACTAGATTCGATAAAGAGCCAAGGGGAGAAAAAAAGAGTCCAGCGTAAATAATATTTCCCTCTTGCTTGAACAGGCAATAGGTTTGGGCTTCTCGATACCATTTCTTTCTGTTACTCTCCATTTTCAAATTAAACCTCAAAATTCAACTAGATAACTGTTTTCCTTCCTGGAAGACCCTAAAGGTTCTAAGCGCTGTTTCCTTTGCCTCTTCATCCCCCTGGTAGTGGCTCACCTGGTTTTCTGCCTCTAACATCTTCTTGTTCTCTGGTGACGGGTACACAGCCAGACCCTGAGGAAGCAGTTTATTCCGGCCCAGTGACTTCTTCACTGTGACAGTGTCACCTCGGATCCCGAGGTCTGCCAAAGGGAACAACATAAAGACTAAATATTATGTCAAACCCAAAAAGGGGAAGAGAGCAAACTGAAGAGATTCTTTCATTTGAAGCTTACTCAGAAGAGAGAAATATAGGCACATGTCAACTAAGGACATCCTTTGGTTTCTTTTATGACTACTTTTGAATATGATGTTCTCTATGCAGGTGTCTCCCTATTGAAAAATTCAAATATTAGAAAACATGATAGTGAGTCCTGACTTTGCTACTTATAAGATGTGTGACCTTGGGCAAGTCATTTAATCTCTCTGACAGCATTAGTTTCCTCATTTGTAAAATGAGGATAATAATTAGATACATTATTCCACAGGGTAGTTATGATGACCAAACAGTATGATTTTTGTCAAAGTAGATATGAAACCCTATAAAGTATTATTGTAAAATAAAATGAAAGAATTCACATTCCTGCTTACACATCATGATTATACTAATACTATGCTCTCACTTTTTATACTAAATTTAATTCAGTGCTACAAACATCTATTACAAGTTAAAGTGCTAGGTACACAGTAGGAATACAAAAGTACGATGCAGAACTTGTTTTCAAGGACCTTCCAATCTAATAGGAAGGAAATGTAGATACACATATACTTGTGACTCAAGGCAGTGAGGAAAGTACAAAAGAGAATCCAGGTAAGGTGCTATGAAAAGGGAAAGAGAAAGTGACTATCTTTGGAGGAGTAAAAGCCCAGGAAGAGAGAGTTTTCCAAGTTCTTCTCAACAGCCTAGTGAAACAGAAGTATATTATTAACTCCCCTTTATAGCTGAGGAAACTAACCTCTGAGATTTCTTAACTCTAAAAGTATAAGCTCATGAAGCTAAAAAATGTCCAGTAACTTGTTCAGAGAAAATAAAAGGAACAATCACAGAAATTTAAGTATAAAAAGAACTTCAAAGGTTACCTACCTAGTATAGACCCTGGGGATAGAAAGACAACAATGAAACAGTCCTTGCCCTCAAGAAGCTTATATTCTATTGAAGGAGACACCTACAAATACACAGACAAAATAAATATATAACAGCCTGCCATCTACTTAGGAAATTTTGAGAAGACACAAAGCTGGGACAAGCTGATGTTTAAAGATCAGTACACTGAGCCAAATAAAATATAATTAAATTTAATAGAAATTAATCAAATCATTAAGGTATTAAATGTAAATCTTACACTTGGGTTACAAAAAATCAGCTTTGAGACGAAGGACTAATCGGTCAGTCAATCACCAAGCTTTTGTTAAGCACTTACCATGTGCTAAGCACTGGGGTTACAAAGAAAGGCAAAAGCAGACCCTCCCTTCACGGCACTCACATTCTAACCAAGCAGACTACATGTAAATAACTAGGTACATACAAGATATCTACAGACTCCGTGAAAGGTAACCTCATCTTGTAGGTGACATTTGACCTGAGGTAAGAAGGGAAGGAATTCTTCCCCACAAGAAAGGGCCATCAAGTGCAAAGGCAGAGAGAGGAGATGGAGGATTATGTGTGAGAAAAAGCAACTATGTCAGTATATCTGGCCCGCATGGAGCGTAGTGCAGGATAAGAGTAGAAAGGTAGGAAGAGGCAAGTGGGAGGTGATGAGCACCTGAACTATGGTGATGGCTATTAAATGTAAAGTAAAGTAGGAGTAAAGAGGGTGCATATGATGTGAGGGTAAAGATGCCCAAGGTTAGGCAACATATGAGATGCGTGGGGGGAGAGGAGGTTTTGAGAAAGACTAAGCCACTAGAAGAATGGCGCTGCCTTTGACAGTAACAGGAAAGTTCACAAGTAGGAGAGGACTTGTGGAAAAAGAATGAGTTCTGTTTTGGGTATGCTGAGTTTGAGATGTTTAAGGGACTGGACATCCAGTTTAAGATAGCCAAAAGATAGTTTGACTGAAAAGCATCTGAGGGGAGCAGCCAGGTAGCTTAGTGGATAGAGCTCTGGCCTTGGTGTCAGGAAGATCCAAGTTCAAATCCTGCCTCAGACGCTTGACACTTCACTTAGCTGTGTGACCCTGGGCAAGTCACTCAACCTTGACTGCCTCACCAAAAAGAAAGGAAAAAAGGGATCTGAAGGTTTTCATGGACTACAACCTCAGCAATATGACAGGTAAAAAAAAAAATGTGGTTTTTGGTTCCATTAAGGGAAGCCAGAACATAGGTGGTAATAGTCCAGCTGGTCAAACTGTGTTTAGAAAAATGTGTTCACACATAACACTCACTAGCTGTGTGACTCTGGGCAAGTCCCTTAACTTGATTGGCTCTCTTAAAAAAAAAGTTTTCAGATCTGAGTACAGAGTTTTAGGAAGGACACTGATAAACTGGAGAGGGTGAGTACAGAGATTGGGGATTGGGAGATAAAGGGATTGAAGGTCGTGCCATACAAGGATCAGTTAAAGGAACTTGGGATGTTTAAACTGGAGAAGACTTAGAGCGAACATGATGTCTTCAAGCATTTGAAGGATTATCACATACAAAGGAGCTATAAAGGAACAATGATATTTTGGGATATTGTTAAGGTATGGCTATGGCAGAAAAACCTCTGCTTCCTCACCTCAGGCAATTTTACTTTCTCATGGACATTTCGTATTGTGCTATTTCCAAAATTTTTAAAAAGCTTATCTGGCCAGCATAAAAGGAAAACCTATGGAGGTGATTCAGAGTGAAGTCAGAAAACCATAAATGTATAAGCACTGAATACAGTTACTAAATTGGAAGAAAATCTTGGGTAAGGATAGTAAAAATTTCAATGCCTTGCCCATAGGATCTCTCCTAATGGGGGTTTTGTAGGATACTTGTCCCGGAACCCATTTTCACGCTCAGGTAAACAACAGATATTGGATACACTCATTTTTTTTTTCCCTGAGGCAACTGGGATTAAGTGACTTGTCCAAAGTTACACAGCTAGTGAGTGTTATGTGTCAGAGGGCAGATCTGAACTCAGGTCCTCCGGACTCCAGGGCGCTCCCTAGCTGCCCCAACACCCATTCTTTTTAAAGAAAGGCATAACCTTTTTGGGATTAATGTACGGAACAATGTCAGGGAAGCAGAGAAAATTGCTCTTTTCAATCCACCTCCAAACTTAACTGGTCATTTCACCCATGGCCCCTGAAAGACCTCAGGAGTGAGCTCCCCTCCCCCCTTAAAAATTCAGTTAACTCCTTAATTACCCCCGGCCTAACAGGCTTCTCATGCCCCTCTGCTCGGTAGCACCTGCTGCAGAAGAGTCAGGGGCTGAGAGAACGGACAAAACTCAAATCTGCCTGTGAGGATTTGCGAAAGGTCAGAGGTTGTGGCCCAAAGGGAGTCTTTGGTTTTATCTACAGATGTCCCACAGATTCTCTGGATCCCCTCCTCCTGGCACCCCGCACCCGGCCTCGCTTACTCTCCACCGTCCGGGTCAGGATGAGCTCCATGGTCCCCTGCGGCTGGTGCTGGGTGTCCTCCACCAGCCGGTAGACCCGGTGCCGCCGGCGCAGACGCGGACTCCGGCCCTCGGCGGCCAGCGGGACCTTCCACCAGCGCTCCACGATCACCGTGCTCTGGCCCGACACGGGGGACAGAGGCGGGATCGGTCAGCCTGCGCGGGCCGGGCCCGGGGGATGACCCCGTCACTCAGCCCTCTCTCTTAGGGGCGCCCCGACCTGTCAACCCGCCCACCCCAAGCCCTGGGCGCGGGGTCCCCGCTGCCACCCTCCCCTCGACCCCGCCGCTCGCTTCCCCCGCCCCCGCCGCCTCCAGGGCAAGCCCTCGGACCCCTCACCCAGCTGTGAGAGAGGCTAAAATTACGCTCCAGGCCCGGAGTTCCGGCCCCGAACCGGGGCAGAAGCCCCTCGGCTGCGGCCAGCAGCACCGGGCTCAGTCGCACCGCCATGGCCTACGAGACCAAAGAGGCAAGGGCGCCGGCGACGGGCAGGGAGGAAGGACCCCAGCGCGGGCCACAAGGGCTCGACCGGGACGCGCCTGCGCCAGAACGTACTGCGCCTGCGCGTGCGAGGACAGGCACTCGGCCTGGCCTCCCTAGGGTTTCTGGCTGGAAGGGTCCTTGGGAAGCGCGGAGTCAAATCTCTACAAGAAGACCTAAGGAACCGAGGCCCAGAGGAGAAATGCTTAGGCTGTCAGATGTTTCTTGGCAAAGGCACGCGCAGGTTTGAAGCAATCATCCGTATGATGCCGGCCCTCTCCACAGTTTGTTTTGGGCAGTTTGGGGGCCACAGTCTTAGTAAAATTAAGAAAAGCAGCCTAACTTTGCAAAAACCGACCAAACCAGACCCAGACAAAGCTCAGCCCAAGGAGGCAGGAGAGCTGGACTCCGGCTGTCGGGCTCAGAGACTCTTCCTGTCGAGGAAGGGGCCTCCTGTGCATTAGCCAGAATCATAGGACGTCCCCCCCATGAAAGAGAGAGAGAGAGAGAAAGACAGACCACCCTCAGAGACCATTTATAATCAGAGGGCTAGACCACCCTCAGGCTGTATCAGGAGAAGCATGAAACGGAGACAGATGGATGCTCCACGAAGCTCCACGAATGGAAGAGAGGTTCCCTGTAAATGGCTAGGTGGCTTCCAACGTTGTGCTGGAACAGTATAAGGTTTCTCAAATAGAACACACAAAAATGATGACCTAACTATCCTCGTAGTTAAAAAACCAAGTGGATGAAGACAATATTTTTCAGAGTCTATCTATTCTGCACATAGTAAGCACCTAATTTACGTTAAATTGAATGAACATTGACCTTGGGGAAAGAGAACCCTTAATCTGTAGATAAATCTGCTTTCAAATCTGCCCAGTTATTGAAGGGCAAGATGAACTCTGAAGGAGCTCCTGTTCTGCCAAATTAAAATGCCACAGCAGAAATGAATTAAGCAAGGAGATTAACAAATGCTAGGTTATGGGCCATATAAGAGGGAACTGGTAGCTTCATCAGTTGAGAAAAGACGTGACCAGAACACTTCTTCCCTTGGATTACAGCTTTGCAATGGAGAATACCTTTCAACCTTTCTCTCCTCAAAGCAGCACTACTAGAATGGGGAGAGGAACTACTCTTTGAGGGAGGATGGAATGACTTTCAAAGAGTAACATTGGAAAGCCTGTGTGTTGTCTCTGAGATAAATGGTACCTTTGAGCTGGTGGGTGAAGTAGATACAGAGCAACAATGTGGTCCTGAGATGGGTTAGGGCCAGGGTTTCTCTCCGTGTCACAGTGGGACTGTCTCTGGCCTAGCGTCACGGGTCACAATGGTAAATAGGTAGCAGTCCCCAGCTCCTCTCTCCTCATCTCACTTTGTTGCTGGGTGGCACTGAATTAAGAAACTGCCTTGTCAAAGGCTGTGCTTTCCGGTATATTCCCTTTCATATATCAAGAAAGGGAAAAAACGAAACTATTTGTACCCACTCTGCTCTCCTTTTGCCTACTTTAGTTACTGTTACAAGTACCGGTTCACTGTTCAGGAGAAAATGATGCCTTGTAACCCTTGTTTCAGAAGGTAATAGTTCTTTTAAACTCCTCCCTGGCCACAGTTGCTCCTTCAAACTAGTCCTTTGTCTGCATTTCAAATTTCAAAATAACTCACCAACTGGCAAGGGGTGGGAAAATACTGAAATAGGGTGGCAGTTTGGGATGCCTCTTCTCTGGTGAGCTCTCAGTAATAAAGATGCTGCATTAGAAGACGGCAGAGGGGGACTGATATAATGACTTGGGGAAAGGAGATGGTATGAGGGGGTCCAGTGCTCCACATCCCTCCCCCCCCATACACAGATGAACTCCTAATTTAGGCCCTTGCTTTTTTGCTAGCCTCACCGTAACTGAGAGGGATAGCCTGACACTGCGACCTCGGTGCTGCCTCCAGTGCTCCTGAGTCCCTAGCAGGCCTCCAGGTGGGCAGAAGCACTGAACAGGGAGACCACAAGCAGCTCAAAGAGCTGTACTCAGTAAGTGGACTCTAAGTTGGGACCCTGCACCTCTACCTCCAGCCCAGGTCTTGCTCTCCGTAGTGATATCCTAGGCAAATAGCCAGTTGAAGGAGAAACAGTGATAATTTTAGAGTTGTAAGGGAATTTAGAGATTTAGTTGCAGCTTATTTTACAATCAAAAAAGCATAATTACTCAACGTGACAAAGTTAGAACTAGAAACCAGGTGTTCTGCCTTTCTGTGTTCTTTTCCCACTCTAGTATATCCTTAGTATGACATACCCAATTTTGGTTTTCTTACACACAAGCAGGAAGGGAGAGAACAAACCTCAATGATGAAAGAATTAGCAGAGTAGGCAGTGAGCAGGAATCTGGCATAATTGCCTTGAAAACAGGACAGTATTGCTGCCTTGGGAAAGATTTTTGCTGTTGGAATGATGGTGAAACAAAAGAAGAAACAGTCTTCAAATTCCTATACTTTACAGAGAAGGATGATAAGTATATTCATTCTCCTCTAAGGAAAGACGGTTAAATGGTAACAATTGAGATTAGACAATGTGCCGTCTAGATAATATAAGTTCTGAGTGTTCTGAGACTCTAGAATTAAGGGACACTATGGAAGCTCCAATAATGAGATAATCTCACCGTACCTCCCAAACCAAGATTGTTGTTTTTATTGGAGGTGGGTGGGTGGGTGGGGCAAGTTTGGATAGTAGCAGTATCCAGTAAATAAAAACCTTTTCTAACCTTGGCATTTTCTTTTTTCTTTACAGTCTGGGAACCTGACGGTGCTAGCTAATGACTCCCTGCTCCACCAGGACCCAATACAGTTAGATTTCCACTTCCGTCTCACCCCTCAGGCTTCTGCCCACTGGCATGGCCTCCTCTGTGACCACCGGCTCTTCCTGGACATCCCCTACAGGGCACTGGACCAAGGCAATCGGGAGAGGTGAGAGTAGAACCCTTCATCATCCCAAACTGGATTACTGTAATGGGAGAGTTGGGGAGTAGTGAGCTGTCCTAGAAACAATGATGCTCCGGATGTGAGAGACCAAAGCACATGTAGGGATTAAATGAACGTGAAGATATAATACATAGAAGAGACTAAGACGTCTTGGAGATGGGCTTTTAAAAGGTGCACAGAAACATGGGACCCTTAAGGTTTTAGAAATCATGGTCACCAGTATGTTAGAATAATATTCTTCCTGTGGTAGGAAGAGTCCTTGGCTTTTTACTCTGGCTAAGCCTAATAATAACTGCAGACCTCAAAGGAATATTTACACCGACTTAGGAAATTTGTTCCTTAGGTCTGGGTCAAGAGGAAGGATCAGTGACTGAATTTCATGTTTTCTCTGTCACCTCTATCATTAGTTATGCTCAGTAGCTTTTCTTTCTCTGGCTCAGTTTGACAGCGACACTGGAGTTTGTGGAGGAGAAAACAGATGTGGACTCTGTGTTTGTGAACTTCCACAATGCTAGGAATGACCGAGGTACTGGGGTAGGGAAACTGCCCGGTCCACTTTTTGCCCTGGCCTTAGTGTGGATGGAGGCTCTTATGACTGTCCCTTTTCCTTGGCACTGCTGAGAACATAGGCTTGGGGAATAATCCTGACTGGGAGTTTTCTGTCCATGCTTGAGGGGAGTTGGTAGACAAAGTAAGGGTATGGAGAGGTAGGTGGAGGGAGGACTTGGGGATCTTGAAAAGGCCTTTCTGGTAACTTGCTTTCTTCTCCTTCATAGGTGCCTTGCTTCGGGCCTTCAGCTACATGGGCTTTGAGGTGGTTAGACCAGACCACCCTGCCCTCCCACCCTGGGACAATGTCATCTTTATGGTATACCCCCTCGAGAGAGATTGTTGCCACTTCTCTAGTAAGCCTTCCTGAATCTAGCCATGTTCCCACTCAAGTGGGAGGGCTGGAGCTTTAGTAATATGGCTCAGGCCCCAGGCACAATGAGATCCAGAGTCCTAGGTTTTTAGGATGTGATTTAGGGCACCTCCTCCCAACCCAGGAATAAAGGGTAATAGAATCATCAATTCTTGGCTTCTGTCTTAGAGAATAATGGAACAACAGTATTGCACTGTATATATTTAATCTTGAGGCAAGCTGGTCTAGGGCAGTGATGCCAAACTCAAATAGAGACTGAGCCACTAATTTATAAAGAAGGATTCCTACAGGCCACATGTTGACTTAGTTTTAATATCTAATGTTACTTTTTATTGTATTTTTAAAATTAATTTGGTTAAATATTTCCCAATTACATTTTAATTTGATTCAGGTCCTACTTGGGAGTGTGGGCCACATGTATGACACCTCTGGTCTAGTGGATATAGTTACTGCTGGACCTGGAGTCAGGAAGGACCTCGATTTTATAGGCCTTAAGCACCTGTGTGACCAAGGGTATATCACAAACTGAGTCTGTTTCCTTATCCATAAAGTGGAGATAATACCACCACCTACCTTCTAGGGTTGGTGCAAGGATCAAAGAATGCAAAACATGTTGTAATCTCTAAAGCACCATATAAATGAGTTATTACTAGAAATTATCTTTGTCCCCTTTGTCCATCCTCTGCTCATCATGTGAATGATATTGCATCAAGGCAGTCAGGTTGACATCAAGAGCCATGACTTCTCTCCCTTCATAGCAAAACTCTCAGCAGAAGCCCAAATATTGAAGGGGTTTAGCTCCTCTATTAGTTCTATCCCTTACTTAAACATCTTTAAAGCTCCAATTAGGCACAGGAAGCAAAGGGAACCTGGACACACAGACCACAATCATTTTTTGCACGGAAGGGAAGAGAATAAACATTTCTATAGAGCTTACGATGTGCCAGGGACTGTGCTAAATAACACTTTGCAAATATCTCATCGATCCTCATGATAACCCTCTGAAGGTGCTATTTATCCCTATTTTACAGTTGAAGAAACCGAGGCAAACAACTAAATTGTAGTTGTTTACTTAGAGGGGAAATGTAAAAAGTGCTTCATGGACCTACTACTGGTTCTCCTGAATCAGGGTCCATTACTGACCAGTCAGTATTGGAATTTTCTGAGGCAGTAAAACCTTATCGTGGATATGGAGAGATACGATTTGCCCAACAGCAGCTTTCTACATCTGGATTACTACTCAAGGTATTCTTAGGAGCTAAAAATGTTAGCTCATTTATTCCTATCTTACTCTTCCCCTCAAACAGGGCTCTTAACCTCTAGGGTCTGGGAATTTTAAAAAGTATTTTGAAAACTACATTTCAATATAATTGGCTTCCTCTGTCACCCAGTGTTACTGTATGCATTAAAAATATTCTGAGAAGTCCATGACACACAAAAGATGAAGAACTTTTGTTGTAAAATATCAAAAAGAAATGAAATCACTGTTCATTTCTATTAAAAATCACCACCTTGCATTTATGTACACACATCCTTTCAAAACCCTTTCGTGTATCTTATCACCTGCACGTTCCCAATATCATTCTTACTGACAGAGAAATGGAGGCTGCAGAACAAACATCAGCACGCACTATCACACGTGAGGTCACAGTGAGCAGATGGGGAACCAGAGCCTAGGACTCTGCCTTTCCAATTCTGGATTCTTCTCGTCACCAAACACTAAAACATGTTTTACCCACTGGTCCAAAACTGGCAGTTATTCCCAGTCTTTTCAATACTACACTAAGGCATGTAAAATTCATCAGGGGACATCTCCCTTCCCTGGATGGGACCTCTCACATCCATATGAAATTAAGGCAGAGAACTTAAAGCCCAACTTGGTCCTCCAGCCTCTCCTTATGTCTACAGGATTGCCTCTATTGCTAGTTCAACTGGCAGATTTTCAGGTCATTTTAAAAACAGAACTTTAGTAATGATTCCCCTCAGAGGCTTACAGTTTTCTCTATTTTTACATACACACTTATTTCACACATATAGTAGGCATTGCACCTACCTAAAGCATGGCATCTTACAATGTATTCCTGAGTCCTCGTTGTTTTCCTACTTGCACCACAGCCTAGGTTCAAAAGGGAAACAACTCTTAAAAATCTTGCGTTCAGTAATAAGGGCATCAGCTGAGGCTGGCAGGGAGCATCACCTGCTCATTTCCTTGGGCTATTTGATTCAGCCCTGTTGACTTTATACCCTACCTCTTCAGCCACGGTTGTAAAGACCCCATGAGCCTGTGGAGGCTCAGAACTTCCTCAATTCACAACTTAAGAATTTTCCTAGTAAGTCATCTCATAAAATGAAGTATACTTCGGAATGATCCCTATTCCCAACTAACAGAACCTTAAATTAACCACCTGTTTTCTACCCCAGTTCCAACCAAATACCTTGCATGGTGGGAAAATGCTTTTATTGCTAGTGGTTGTGGGCGGTGCTAAGGGAGGCCCTTCTAAAGCAGCATCTGATAACAGACATACACACGCACACACATATATAGTCTTTTTCTGAAAAGTTTTTCATTCTGCTAGTAGAAGAAGCCATATTTGGTTCACAGCAGGCCAATTTGCAGGCAGCCCACAAAGGAGGAAATGTGGGGGCATCTTCTGTGGAATTTGATTTTCTGTCCAGCCACAGGCTCCCATGCCATACCTTGCCACTTCCTAAGCATGGACACAAATATGAGAAAGGGTCAATATATGGGAGCAAGTCAAGCTTGGAGAATAACAGCCACAGAAAAGGAACATGAGGATCAGGGAGAAGGAAGAGAGAATGCAGTAGCTCCCCATCCTCACCCCTCACCGTTTTCCTGCTCCATAAGACACAAATCAGAGAGCCCCACTCACACAGCAGGCAGATGGCTGATGCAGTCAGAGCATAGACATCAGAGCAAGTCGTCTTCTGCAAGGACACCATCATCACCAGAAACTGAGGCAGCTTCTAAGCAAAGACAGGAGGGGAAATTAGGCAATACACAACGTTAGCAGACTGTTTCCAAGGTCCCGGGATGGGTACAACCAGGACCTCACTCAACTTTTCCAATTCAATCCCCCTAGTCTGGATCAGAGAAAGAGAAGGCAGCAACCAAGGAGTTTCAGGAGGTACGGTAGGAAATATTGTTGGTTACCTGATAAGCTGAGGCATGAGAGAGTGTGTGGTGTCTCTCCGGGGCTCTTCTTGGCCTCAGACAACAGGCTGTCTAGAGAGGCATCTGTCTCTGTGGCCTGAGGGAATGACAGAAAAGAGAAGATGAAAGTGTTAGTAAATGGGGTGAGGGAGAAGCAAACACATCATTGCCTCTACAATGTTAAATCTGAACTATAGAAATCTGTGGAAGCAGCTAAGTTTGGCTCTGGAGAGTAAACTAAAGCACCTTTCGTCAGCTGGTGAAGCCATCTCGGCTCCAAGGAAGGCTCTCCACTACCAGGAGCCTGGGGCAGAATCACAGGCTGTCACCTGGGCTCCCCCAGGGGCATCACCCTACACCACCACTGGAGCTCACCCACCAATATATCCTGCAGCATCTCAGGGACAGCAGCATCTTCTTCTCCCATGTCTTGGGGGAGTTCAAGTGCATAACCCTGGCGCACTAGTTCTAGCCCAATATCAAGATTCTGGAGGAGGAAAAAACAGAAAGGGTTTAAGAAAGATTTTTTTTTCTATGCTAGTCATGAAAATAGGGGAAAAAGGCTAGGATGAGAAATTTAGGGAAATGAGGAGTAACCCAAAAAGTCCAAAGACAAAGAAACAGGGTACGAAATCTCTGTCTAACCAAGATAATCCAATGATCCTCTAGGCCTCACCTGTCCGTTGCTTGTGTCATAAAGGTGGATTTCTGGCCAAGTAGAAATCCCTGTTTGCACATAGCTAGAGATCTTGGCTACCAGAGGCTTCCACTCTGCACAATGAGTGAGGCGGTCAAACTCATCTAGGGCTTCCTCTTCCCACTGCTCACCTGGTGAAACAGCCAAAGAAGTTAGTGCTGAGAATTGGAATGAAATCAGGAGATTGCCTATCTTCTTTACAGAAGTGGTCTGAGCTCCTGGAAGTTCTGTCAAGCAGGCAGACAAAATAGGATTTTTCCAATGTGCTATGTGGGACTCATTCTACCCTGAGACCAAATCACACAGCTAACTTACCTGAGGGAACAATCCTTGCTAGACTACATTCTATTGCTTGGAATGGGAGGCTTAGGAAGTCACTCCTGAAGTAAAAAACATAGAAAACTGTAGTTAAGACTCTTATGACAAGTCATAAAAGTCATCTAGTCTCCCTGCTTTTAGACTACATAATGTATGGGCAGATCTAATCTATTCTTAAAATCGGTTCCATTCCAAATCTCCTAATTAATGAGCTTTCTACAATCTCTCCAACTGACAGGGATGAGTTAATTGGAATTAAGATTTTAATCTGACCTCTCGCCATACATCCAAATATGACTGACCTGATAGCTCTCAAGTCCTTGAGTGGGCTCTCCCCATTATCTCCAAAGTCAACAAAGTAGAGATCCAGATTCCCATTCTCCAGGGTACCCAGGACCCGGGCCCGATACCAGGGTCCATCTGTAGGTAAAGGTGCTGCTACAATGTCACCCACGTGCACGGTCAGATCTTCAGGCTACATGTGCAAGTCAGAGGTAAGGAAAGGGAGAAGGTGGCAATGACAAATAGATGGGACAGACAACAAAAGGTCAGAGATGAGAATAAATGACCATAGGAGCCACAGAAAACTGGTTCCCAAAGAAAAAATAAAATACACAGAAAGAGAAAGGTGGGAGATACTCCTTTCCCTCAAGCCCTGTTATCCCCATCACCCCCTGGTCCATGTGGCAACTCACTGACTGACTGTTCTCATAGTACTGGGTCATCTCGTTGACCAGCTTGTCCAACTGTAAGCTGCGGGAGCCAATAATCTGGATCCAGAAATGGCTGGGGTTTTCAGAGGCAGACACATAGACTTCTAGATACTCGTCAGCATGGAAACTGAAGTCAGGGCTGGGGACTAAACACATTATGGGGTTGAGGTTGGTGGCTATGAAAAAACCATCCCAGGCTGGTAAATGAGAGAATAGGGCTAAGGAAGTGGTAGCTTTCAGCTTTTAGAATACTCAAAAACAAAACAGAATGATTCACTGAAGAGAGAAATACTGAATGAGGATTTTTACATTTCTTTTGCTCCTTTCCCATAACAAAACCATGGCCATGACATAAATTCAGATTCCCAGTCACATTTTACATCCCTTTGGATGTTGGTCTCCTTTAGAGACTGTTACAACCCCACAGGACGGATGTAACACAAGACTGAGCAAGCTAGGCACTGGGTAGCAAGAGATTTGTATCCTAGTGTCTACCCTGGCCTCAGACTCCCTCCATGGACCCAGAGGTCCTCATTTACCATTCTATACTCCACAGCTTCCACTGATGGAAGAAAAAACTTCTAGTTCCCGGGATTTCCTTTTTCAGAGATGTTGTAAAGATATATATATCTTATGACATGATATATGACTACAAAGTAACAAGACTAATTCCACAAACCACGTGAGAAAAACAGTTTCATTCCTTTGTAATCACACCTCATGATGAATCAGAAGTGTTTTAATGAATACTATATATAAATCCAAGGTAGAGTTGACCTTTAATTAGTTGCTGGCTTTTCTGAAGAAAATCTTTAACCCTGGACTGCTAGGCTTTCAGCAAAAGACTTTTGAGGTGCCTTTTCTTGCCACCATTTGTACTTTGAAAATGGACTGCTGGAATAATTACGAGCAATGATTATTAACTTAGCAATTTGCTATTTTCAAAGACTTATGATTCATTTCCAAGACAAATAAAGTCTTTTTGGTTATCTGTAACTCATGTGAGTCTTCCCCCATTGGTTAGCATAAATAATAAAGCTGTCACTGGAGATAACATACTTTCAAACTTTGGCATTTCTGGACTAGCCTGGGCTCCCATGTCCTCCTGGCAGCTGTGGTCACTAAGCATCTTTTCATGAGAATGTTCCACCTGCTCTGGTCTCAGCCCAGCTGCATCTCCTCCTCCTCCTCGGCTAGGAGTGGCAGCCAGTGTGGGGACCAGCTTCTTGCTGGTGCTCATGTCCTTAGGAAAGGCTGGCTCCCCAGCTCCCCCGGGCCCTGCCACTTCCTCTCTCTTGACACTGATGGGCTGCTTGCGCTGTACTCTGGATTCTGCTGAATGAGCAATCCTCTTCCGAAGCTCTTCATCTTCTGAAACTTTTTCCAGGATAAGATGCTTGCCAGAAAAAGAGAAGGAAAAATCAGCTCAGGTCCTCAAGTCATGAGGACAAGGAGGGAAGGGGCTCTTCTCATTCAGATACATATGCCCAGCTCTACTCAATACCCACCTTGGCTGCTGCCACTTCCTTCTGTGTTCCTGAGATCTTTATGAGTCGTGTTAGTAGCAATGTCCCTTCTGATTCCTTGTCACAGGTGATTTTGGCCCCAGAGCTCTTGCAGATGGCACGAATGGTCTCTCCACCTCTCCCTGCAGAAAGATACACACACAAATTCCTCTGCTTCTCTCCTTATACTTTGCAGCAACTAGAAAAATTTGGAGGAATAAATTTTCATTTCCAAACTGAGCCAAGCACCAGGTTCCTAATAAATGTTTTGAACACTTAAAGTTATGGAACTAATAGTTCCTGAAATCTTTCTTGCCAATACTGCCTCCCAGTAATGTTTAATTTTTTTTCTTTTAATTTAAAAAATTCAGATAGATTCAATTCCTTCACTCCAAATAACTCTATTTTCCTAAACCATTCAGGAAAGCTACACTTTTCAGTCCTAAAATAAACCAGAATACTCTACTAAAGTGAGATAGTAGAAAGAGCACTAAACAAGTTAATGAGAAGAACTGGGTTCTAGTCCCTGCTGTGGGGCACTCATAACTTTATGACATTGGAGATGTCAATACTGAGTCTGTTTACTCATCTGTAACCGAGGGATAGTACCAGCCCTGCCTATTTAAACAGAGGAGTTATGAGGTGCATGGAAAATCAGATTATCAAAAGCAATCTGAATACTATTAAGTACTATAAAATTTTAAGATCTCTCTTACAGTAGCACAAAGGGATAATACTTTATGGGAAACTATGTATTCTCCTCAAAGGTTAAAGATATACCATGAGCAAGCAGACTTACCTTTTGTTTAATCCTTTGTGAATCTACCACCCATGAATTTTTCTAAATCCTTTTTGAATCTATTTTGTATTTTGGGATCATATTTGAGATAAAGTGAGTAAAACTGTCTGCCATCAACATCTTTTCGATATCTCCCCTTATGGAGATGACACTGACCAAGAAATACTCTTAAGATGATATGAAGATGCAAGATACAGAAAGAAGGAAGCATTAAAGGGAGACAACAGTACCTATAATTCTGCCCACAGATCTCTGAGGTACTGAAAGCTGTTCATACACTGGGGTGTTCTCTGTCAGGATCTGGTGGATTGCTGCTTTGGCTTTGCAAACCTGGACAGGAAAGCCACTGATGAGCAGCACCCGCTCCTCACCTACATCTTCTGTGTCCACATCAATACGAGCACCAGTTTGCTTCCTCAACTGCAGAGAGGACAGGGGAAGAAGGAGGAGATGGAAAGTGTGCATGTCTATATATGTGGTAGGCCTTATGAAGGGACCCCATGTTTGGACATAGCCAACGTGACAATGTGTTTTGCTTGAGTATGCATACTTGTTGCAAGGGCTTTAGTTTTTTTTTTTAATAGGGTATGGGAAGAAAAGAAAAATCTATATTGGTTAATTGAAAAAAATATTTTTATTTAAAGAAGAGGCCTCATGAGAACTAGTTACTGATTCTTTAATCTGAACTATGGGTGCTCTAGGGAGATGGAAGGAGAGACAGTGACTATCTAGCCAACTCCTTGATTCATCTCCTAAGTGGAAACCCAATTAATCTTTACTTTATTTGCATTGACAGGCAATGAATGAATACTGACAAAGAACAATTTAAAAAGCAGTTAACTTTAAAAAAAATTATTCTGGTTTGTAATACTTTTTTTAACCTTCAAGCAGATTCTTTTTTTTTTCCAAGTCTATTTTATTTTATTTTCACGTCTGCATTCTCTCCATTTTCCCTGGCCCACACAAAGCATATTCCCACACTGGTCATAGGTCAAAAAATAAAAAAGGTTTCATTCTGTACTCAAGTACTTCACCTCTCTATCAGGAGGTAGGTGGCATATTTCATTACTAGATTTCAGGAATAGTGGTTAGTCACTGTTCTTGACTGGAGTTCTGAAGTTTTTCAAAATTGTTAGTCTTTACAGTATTATTGCTATGATATACATTGTTCTCCTTTTTAACTCACTTTACACTGTATCAGTTCATACAAGTCTTCCCAGGTTTCTCTGAACCATCCCCTTTATTATTTCTCACAGCATAACTATTTTATCATAATCATATATCATAACATATTCAGCCATTCCAACTAACAGGCATCCTTTCTTTGCCACCACAAAAAATGCTGCTATAAATATACATACAAGTCCTTTTCCTCTCTTTGTGACCTAAATGACATACACTGGGTCAAATGATATACATGGTTTAAAAGCTTTCTGGCATATTTCTTAATTGCTTTTCAGCAGGGTTCAATCAGTTCACAGTTCTACCAACAGTACAGTAATGTACCTGTTTACCCCAGAATCCCTCCAGAATCTGTTGTTTTCTTTTTTTGGGTCAACCGTGCCAATCTGATAGGTATGAAGTAAAACGTTAGAGTTGTTTTAATTTGTATTTCTCTAATTATTAGCCTTTTAGGGCATTTTTTCATATGGTTATTTTTAGCTTGGATTTCTTCTTCTGAAAATTTCATACACATTGACCATTTATCAGCTGGAAAATGGTGCATTATTCTCATCACAAATCAATTCCCTAAGTATCTTAGGAAATGAAACCTTTCTAAAATGATAAGCAGCATCTAACAAAAACTATCAGCAAGCATTAATTGTAATAGAGATAAGCTAGACGCCTTCCCAATAAGATCAGGAGTTAAGAAAAGATGTTCACTATCATCACTATTATTCAATATTGTACTAGAAATTATAGGTACAGCAATAAGAGAAGAAAAAGAAATGGAAAGAATTAGAATATGCAACGAGGAACCAAAACTACTACTCTTTGCAGATGATATGACGGTACACTTGAAACATCCCAGAGAATCAACTAAAACACTAGTTGAAATTATTAAGAACTTTAGCAAAGTTGAAGGATATAAAATAAATCCACATTAATCATCAGTATTTCTACATATTACCAACAAAGTCTAGCAGCAAGAGATAGAAAGAAAAATTCCATTTAAAATAACAGTACACAATAAAAACTATTTGGGAGTCTACCTGACAAGATAAACCCAGGAATGATATCAACACAATTACAAAATACTTTTCACACAAATAAAATCAGATCTTAGTAATTAGAAATATACTAATTGCTCATGGATAGGTTGAACCAATATAATAAAAATGGCAATTCCACCTAAATTAATTTATTCAGTGCCATACCAAACTACCAAAAAATTATTTTATAGAGCTAGAAAAAAATAATACAAAATTCATCTGGAAGAACAAAAAGTCAAGAATATAGAGGGAATCAATGGAAGAAAACATGGAAGGAAGGTAGTTTAGCTGTATCAGATCTCAAGTTACATTACATAGCAGCAGTAATCAAAACAATCAGTTGAACAGATCAGGGACACAATATACAGTAGTAAATGACTATATAATCTAGTGTTTGATAAATCAAAAGATCCAAGCTTTTGGGACAAGAACTCACTATTTCAAAAGAATTTCTGGGAAAACTAGAAAACATTTTGGCAGAAACTAGGTAGAGACCAACATCTCATACCATATACCAAGATAAGGTCAAAATTGGCTCATTATTCAGACATAATGGGTGACATTATAAGCAAATTAGGGGAGAATGGAATAGTTCACCTGTCAGATCTGTAGATAAGTGAAGAATTTATGACCACACAAGAGACAGACATTATAAGATATAAATTGGATAATTTTGATTACATTAAACTATAAAAGGTTTTGCACAAACAAAACCAATGCAGCCAAGTTTAGAAGGAAAGCAAAAACCTGAGGAAAAAAAGTTACAGCAAGTTTCTCTGCTAGAGGCCTCATTTCTCAAATATATAGAGAACTGAGTCAAATTTATAAGAATCACAAGCCATTCCCCAATTGATAAATGGTCAGAGGATATGAATGGACAGTTTTCAGATGATGAAATCATAGCTATTTACAGTCATATGAAAAAAAATTCTCTAAATCACTACTGATTAGAGAAATGCAAATTAAAACATATCTGAGGTACTAACTCACACCTATCAGATTGGCTAATATGACAAAAATGGAAAATGATAAATGTTGGAGGGGATGTGGGAAAATTGGAACATTAAAGCACTGTTGGTGGAGTTGTGAACTGATCCAACCATTCTGGAGAACAATTCAGAACTATGACCAAAAGGCTATGCTGTGCATACCCTTTGACCCAGCAATACCACTACTAGATCTGTATCCCAAAGATATTAAAAAAAAAAAGGACCTATATGTACAAAAATATTTATAGGAGCTCTTTTTCTCTTTTTGTGGTGGCAAAGAACCAGAATTGAGGGGATGCCCATCAACTGAGGAATGGCTGAATAAGTTGAGGTATATGACTGTGATGGAATATTATTTTGCTATAAGAAATGATGAGCAGGATGTTTTCAGAAAAACCTGGAAAGACTACATGAACTGATGCAAAGTGAAGTAAGCAGAACCAGAAGAACACTGTACAAGCAACACCACTGCTGTATGATGATCACCTGTGAATGACTTAGAATAGCTAAGACAATTCTGAAGGACCCATGATGAAAAATGCTATCCGCTTCCTGAGAAAGAACTGATGGAGTCTGAATGCATATATTTCTCAAAATTTAAAAATTTTCTTTTTCCTTTTTTTTTCGGGGGGTGGGAGGTGTCCTGTGTTTTCTTTCATAACATGACTAAGATGGAAATGTTTTACATGACTGCGTATATATAAAACCTGTATCAAACTGCTTGTTTTCTTAACGAGGGGAGAGAAGAGGGACAGAGAGAGAGAGAGAATTTGGAACTCAAAGTTAAAAATAAAATGAATGTTAAAATTTTTTTACATGTAATTGGAAAAAAATGAAATCAGAGAAACTTACTTACTCAGATTCTCCCCATTTGTGAAACATTTTTATTTTCCTAATTATTACTTGGGTTAGGGAGATGGTAAGTTGCTTTTTCAGTTTTCTAACTGACAAAAGAGGAAGGTGATTTATCAGATATACGATGCATACCAGGGAAAATCATCCAGTCTAGAACTTACTATTTATGGTAAATTATCTACAAAGTAAATTTCTGAGTAATCAAGTAATCCATTTCTTGAATGTAAGAACCTTATATAATGAAATAGAATGAAAGCCATCTGCCATCTAAAGGGAGCAATTTAACTTGCCAAAGGTGCTTTTCTCTGAAGGCAGCTTGTTTTACGTATGTGCATGTGGTGTTTCTGAGGGGAGGGGGGTAAAATCCACAACCACAAAATACGTATGAAAGCTGGCATACTTACCTGTTTAATATTGGCTCCTTGCCGGCCAATAATCAGCTTCACAGCCTCCTGAGGGACCCGCATCTCCACCTCAATATCATCTTCCCCAACAAACGTCAGCCGTTCTTCTATAAAATGACCATCAGATAAATCCTAAGGCCAAAGGCTAACATAATAACCCCTGTTCCCTGACTTCTACCTCTAACACCTGACTGTCAAAAACAAGAGGAGCCAAGGAAGAAAATGGGTAAAGAAACTCAGTAACGGCAACAAATGAAGGGGCTTTCTGAATGGGAACTTAAAGATTACAGAAGATGTGACTGGCAGACAGGATAGCTCTGTGGGATGCTGCTTCACAGAGGCCAAAGCAGGAAAAGCTCCAAAGTCCTATAAGGAAGGTGTGCTAAGCTTCAGAGGGGCTTCTAATTTCAAAATGTCTTTGATGTTTCCAGGAAAGAATCCTAGAAGACAGTGACCTAGAAGTCCAGACTTGCCTGCATTTTCTGTTCAGATTCAGAGTTTATCTCACCAAATTTTTACAATCCATTTAAACCTAGAAACACAGCCCATTAGTGGAGAAGGTGTGAATGAGAAGAGACTAACCTCTCCTCAAGGCTGAAGAGGAAGGTACATATAAAAAGAATGGGGCAATTATACTTACAAGCACACATCAACAGATATAAGATCAAAAGCCATTTCCCCAAAAGATAAGTGGTCAAAGGATATAAACAATCATGTCTCAAAAGAATTGCAAACTATTAACAAGCACAAAGAAAAACGCTCCAAAGCACTAACAAGATGCGAATCAAAATAACTATAAGGTTTTATCTTCTACCCAGTATACTGGCAAAGATGAAAAAAGATGGGAATACTTATTCTTGAAGGGGTTGTGGGAAGATAGGCACCCTAGTGCATTATTGGTGGAGCTGTGAATCAGTACAAGTATTTTAGAAAACAATTTGGAAGTATGCAAATAAAGTGGCTAAAAATGTCCATACCCTTTGACCCAGAATTCTAGTACTAGGCTTATACCCCAAGGAGGTCACTGATAATAAGTCTCCACATACACCAAAATATTTAAAGTAGCATTTTTTTTTGCGGTAACAATTCAAAACAAAGTACATACTCATCAACTAGGGAATGGCCAAACAAATTGTGATATATGAATGTAACGGAATATTACTCTGCTGTAAGAAATTATGTGTGTGATGACTACAGAGAAACATGGGAAGATCTACGAGAACTGATGCAGAATAAAGTAAGCAGAGCCAAGAAAACAATATATCCAAAGACCACAACAATATAAATGGAAATAACCACCAAAAAAATTCAAAAAGTGAATGTTGCAAAATTACAAAGAACAAACATGAATTGATAGAAGAGATGGGAGGTTCAGAAGTATTGTACATTGCACATATTTTCAGACTTTTTCAATGTATCGAGCGGTTACGTGGGGTTATCCCCCCTCTTTTTCTTTTTTGTCTTAAAAATATCATTTGTTGTATGGGCTAGCTCTCTGGGACAGGGAAGCATACTGGGGGAAATTATGGTGATGTGAAAAAAAGACATCAATGAAAACTTATTTTTAAAAAAGAACCCACTACAAGTTTAATGCTGGTTCCCTACTTAGATCAATAGAGCTCTTAGAAAAGGACAGATGAATTGGTATCTCAGTCTACAGACTATCTGCTATTTGAAGAGTTGTGGTAACAAAAAAGAACAGTGTCTCTGTGCTACTAGAAGTGCAGCCAGTTGGCAAAGACCCCTTACGTTGTTCTAGTTGTAATACAATAAATTAACAAGTCTACAATATTTAATACATTTGACTTCAGGTTAATGAAGTATGTCAGTTTCTAACACTTTCCATCATCTATATGCATATACACAAAAATACGTACCTTGGCTTTCTCTATACCTTCGATAGAGGATGTAAGCAACAGTCAGGCTGGCTGGAATTCCAAGGCCCAGTGCTATTTTCTGAATGGTTGACAGGTTTGTCCAAAAAGACCACTCAGTGGCCATTTTCTCTGGAGTTCTAACCTGCATTCTGAAGCATGGGAGGGGAAACAAAGCGAGCTTTCAATCAAAACTTATGTGTGGCTAGCAACACTTTTGTCCAAATTCCAAGTATCAACTCCAAAGTGAGAAACCTGACTCACTGGGCAAGCAACTGAAGACCACAAGTAAAAAGAAACTTAATTTGTCTTTCTGCTGCCCAACCCTAGAAAAATACACACTCAAACTCATGAGATTTAAAAACAATGAACAAACCAGCTTAGCTGGAGCTTAGATGATAAAAGGAGTTAAAGTTGGAGAGTAGGATGGGATCAGATTATGAAGGACTTCGAAAGTCATGCTAACCAATAAAACGTTACTGAATAAGAGTATCAAGGTAACAATAAAGTTTATGAAGTTTGTAAAGTGCTTTACATCTACAGATGATTTTCATTCAACCTTCACAACTCAGAGTTAAGTGCTACAGATATTATCATTTTATAAAGGAAGAAACAAAGATTAAGTGACTTGCCCAGGGTCACACAATCGGTTAAGTGTCTGAGATGGGATTCAGACTCGGGTCCTGGCTCTCAAGTCCATGGCTTTTTCAACTGTGTTATGCTGACATCAGTGCTAAGATTTAGGAAAATTGCTCTGCATTAGCACACAGAATAGAATCGATAGTAAAGTTTGGTATGGGGCTTTTGACCTTACCACTCGACTAAAACTGTTCTCGCCAAGGCTGCAATCTTGCTAGTCATTAAATCAAACGGCCTTTTCTCAGCCATTATCCTTCCTGAACTCTTTGTAGTATTTGAAATTCTGACTATGTTCAGCTCCTGGTTATTCTCTCTCTCACAGGTTTTTTTCCCCTACCTACCTAATTCCTCTCAGTTTTATGGCAAGATCATCATCTACGTCCTAGCCCTTATGGGTGAGTATACCTTGGGGCTCTGTCCTGGGCTCCCTTCTCTTGTCTCTCTCTACATCATTTCTTGGTGATTCCATTAGCTCCCACCATTTCAACTATCACCTCTTTGCAGATAACTCTCAAACCAACATGTTTCCAACTGCCTGCTGGACATTACTACCTAGAAGTCATCTTTCCTCCTAAACCTATACTTCCCAACTTTTCTATTTCTATCAAGAATACCTCAGTCACTCAGCTTTGCACTCTCAGAATCACACTGAAGTACTCCCTATTCTTAGTGGCATCCTGTAGTACAATGGGGTATAGAGCTGGGCCTGGAGTTAGGGAGATCTGAATTCAAATATTGGCTCAGGCCCTTAATTAGTTGTGTGCCACTAGACACAAATCACTTATCTCTATCAGCCTCAGTTTTCCTCAAGTATAAAATGGGAATGACAGCCATCATACCTCCCAGGTTTGTTTTGAAGATCAAATGAGATAATATTTGTGAAGTGCTTAGAACAGTGCCTGGCACATAGTAGGTGCTATACAATAAAAATGCCTGTTCCCTTCCCCTTTTCAACCCACATCCATTAAGTTGCCAAGTCTTGTTGAGTCTAACTCTAGAACACCTCTCATATCTGTCCCCTTCTCTCTATTCTTCAACCACTTTAGTTCAGGTTCTCATCACTTCTCACCTGGACTACTGCTACAGCACTCAATTCGTGTCCTGACTAGGTTCTCCCTTCTCCTATCCATCCTCTCTGTGCAACTACCACAGCGATAGTCCTAAAATACAAGTCTAACCAAGTTCTCCAGTTCAAGAACACTTTAGTGGCTCTTTACTGCTTTTGAGTTAAAATACAAACTCTTCTCTTTAGCATTTGAAGTCCTTCACAATCAGATTTCAATTTATTTCCCCAGGATGATCTTATCATTCCCTTTTGTTCATCATGTATTCACAGAAACTAAAGAGCCCTTTTTTAAAAGCTATACTTCTTTGTTGTTGTTCTTGGAGAGGCAGTAAAAGGGAGAAAGGGAAGAGGCTTTACATGTTATGTGGTTTCATGTTTCTGTGTTAGGAAGATTATATTCAAAGTAGTTCCATTAACTTGAATAGTCAAGACAATCCAAATCAATTAGTCAACTGAAAAGCCTTCTACCAATTCAGGCAGCTTTGTGAGGCTACAGGTTGAAATCTGTGGTTTACTGTCACCAGCAAATCAAAAGGTGTTTTCCCATTGGGTTTGTTCAGGGATGGGAAAAAAATCCTTTAGTTCATATGACTATTGGCCCAAAAAATGCAATTTAAATGATGGCAAAAGAAATCTGGTTCAGTCCTAATAATGCTAGAAATATGGATGAAAACAAAATCTACTCTAAAATAAATTGTCAGTTTTAAATGTGCTCTTCCCTGAAAGACAATAATTCCTATTTCAGATGCAAGAGGAGCAGTACTGCCACTGCAACAACCAAGATGGAATTAAATCTGGAAGACCAGACAAAGCACTAAACTTGGAGTGGCAGGACCTGGATCCAAGTCCTTAATCCAGTTTTGTGTAGGCAAACCGTAGTGTGTTCATAAAGCTTTTAACAATAGTACTATACACTCTTACCCAGCCTGGCTCCCACTCCTATCTCCCCACCAAAAAAATACCCCAAACCTTTACTGCTGTCTACTGAGCTTGCAGTTTTTCCTATAGTAAATTTGCATGTCCACTCTTACCTTGTAGGATCCAAGTAATTTCTGGTAAACTGTCTTTGGCAAAGGAGACCCTGACTGGATTGAGGTTTGTGTGTACAAAATTTTATGATTACAAAATTTCTGTCTCAAATTACTGTGTACATAAGTCAGTTGTTCTCCAAAAAGGAAAACTTTTCAGATCCCTCCCAGTAAAGATAGGCAGATTTTCTTTTTTGGTAGGCTTTCTTTAAAAGACAGTGTTACTTGATTTTAATTTTGAGGCCTTACATAACAATAATGGGCTTTGGAGAAACTAAAGACAAAAAAAAAAAGGTCCTTCCTAAGAGAAAAAGGTTTTCTTTGAACAAGTCTCAATACATCTATATTATAAAGTCATTAACACAGTGTAAATATTATTTATATTAGGCTTATAATGTTATTTTCCTTAAAGGTACTTTGTAAGCTTAGTTCCTCTACTATATTAATGTATATAATACTGATTCAGTTAAAATGGCTTTATCCATAAATTCCAAATGCTTAGTCAAAACAATAGTTTGGAACAACAGTATATGCTAAGATTTCTTTCTTAATTTTGTACTTTAAACTACATAACTTTAAATAACAAATGCTATATTTTCCATTTGAGCTGTCCTCCCTCCCTTTCTCTCCTCTGCTTCCAACTCTAAATTTTAAGGCAAGCAACCTACCATATGTAAGAGCACTAGCTCAATCAGCACCCTAGCAACAGTTTGATCTAAATGCCAATCCTCTTTTGGCTGCATTCTAAAATTCATGATTGTGGGTTTTTACATAACTGGCCACTATGCTTAATACATCTTGTTTGGGTTTGCATGTTGTCTCCCCCATTAGAGCACGAACTCCTAAAGAGGAGGGACTATTTTATGCCTTGCTTTGTATTCCCAGTGCTTAGTAAAGTGCCTGAGCACGTTGTAGGTACTTTAATAAATGCTAGCTGACTAAGGAAGAACGTGCCAGTACTAAGACCCAATTACAGCTATCTCAGGCAGTCCAGAAGGGAATGTACTCCTCCCATCAGAAAACATCTGGACCGAAGTCAAAGGTTCTGGATACAGCCAAATTCCTAACACTCTGGTACTGTGTATAAGGTATGAAGAGGAAGGTAAGCTACAAGGGGTTTGACATCTTTGCAACTTAATATCCACTGTCAGCACCCAGGGCAGTGATGGTCAAGTAGTTGGGTACTTAATAAGTGTTTTTTAAAACTGAATTGAAAGCACAAGAAAGTATTTTCAGAAAAGTATCTGAGCTTCCAAATACCCTTTTTTGTTGGTCAGTATTCTCATTTCCCATTCATATCAAAGTGTATGAAAAAAGGGGAAACTGAAGCCAAATTGATTGGGCTTTAGCATTCAACTAAAATTAAATATCTGTTACATATAAGGAACTCTATCAGGCACTAGATTTATAAAAACCTTACCTTCAGGAATCTTATATAATCTTATAAAGGGGACTGAAGACATAAGTAAATCTATGATAAGCATGTTAGAGAGATCAGAATGGAATGAAAGAGGGATCTCAGAAGAAGTGGCACCTAAGAATCCAAATGCTCCCCTTCCAAAACAGAGGGAAGGAAGAATAGTTAAGATACTAACCAATCCCATTGTTTTCAGTAAGATCGCAACTGCAGCAATGCAAACAGTTTTATTTCCATTGGTCTTTAGTCCTATCTGGAAAGAATGCACTCCAAACTTGAGGAACTCAAAGCAGTTTGAGCAAGAGAAGGCAGAAGTGGCAAAGGAAGTTTGAAGTAATTATAAATGAGAGCCATAAAGCCAATAATCTACCATTAAATCTTCCTCACATCAGAGGTACGATTTGAGAAGCACCAACATTTGCTGATATGAATGGATTTATATGACAAGCCCATCTGTACCAAAGACTAAATTTAAATAATCTTAATCACTACAAAATCAAAAGCTAGGCTAATTAAAGTTTTATTGCCCTCTTGGTAGAGAATGTATGTATCATAAGAGAATATATATCATACTTGTTTATTGCTAAATTAAAGGCTAAATTTATGATTTAGATATATACATACTCTGTCATGAACACCAGTGGATAAAAAGTTTAAAAGTGAAAGATAAAATAAAAGAAATGGAGATAAATTACTATTACTAGATGCTTACTTGATTTTATTACTTAAAACGGAATGGGAGAGCAATACATGGAAAAGAGAGAATGCCAGAATCTCTGACCATTCTACAAAGATATAAGAATGCAGGGAAAGCCTACAATTCAACTCAAAGTAGTTAATTCTGCTCAAGGACGATCATACCCTCCCATACCTTCTTTTGAAAATAGAACATCTGAGACCTGTGAACCCAACTCTAGCAATGATAAATAATACAGTACTTGAAAAGAAAGTGCAGGCACAAAAGAATCCATACTATAGCTAAAATAAGTCAGAGTTGAGAGTTCAAAGTATTCAAAATGGGAAAATTTGCAATTTTGCTATCAGAATTATCCCCCACAACTAAATATTTTGCATTACTCCACTCAACTTTCCTCCTTGGCATATGGGAAGTGTGGAAAAATAAAATTAAAAGAAAAAAAAAAGCACTAACCTCCAAGTCAGATGGAAACTGACTCTGACACTACCTGGGTGATCCTGGGCAAATCACTTACCTCTTTTGAGTCTCTGTTTCCTCATCTGTACAAAGGGAACAGAAAGGCATTGTGGTCTAGTGTATAAAGGGACGCCTTCTGAGTCAGAAGAACAGAGTTCTAAATACTAGCTGTGTGACCTTGGGCAAGTCGATTAACTTCTCAACGTACTAGGCAACTTTGTTAGACTTTAAATTGTAAATCATTATTGGTAGAAGGTGTTTCCTTACCAGGAACTCCTTAACATAGATGAAATCTCAGATCCAGACAGAAAAACATGAGGATATTTGCTTACACACAAAGCTGAAGCCAAGAAAATGTTTTTAAACCTTAAATTGATATGTAAAAATGTTTGTTTCCACTGCACTGCAAACAAGCTGATAATAACTAATACATGTTTTTGTACCAAATTACCTTTTAAAAATCATGAAATAAAGCCAAATAACTGCTTCTAAAGGGAGCTTTAACAAACCAAGAATTAATGTTCCTCAAGACAATAAGAGCATTTTTAGATCCACCAGAGGCTAAAGATCCACAGTCTTCTTTTACATGTAAAAACCAACTGAAGAAAAAATTTCAAACCCTTCCCTTAAGAAAGAGGCAGGGACTAAAAACAGAGACTTTGAAAACTGTCAGTTTTCAGCCAATTCCAAAATAATGCTACCTGCACTAGGAGGGTGGCAGATAAGGTGGGGATCAAATAATTGAGTTTAGTAATAAAGGCAAAAACTAGGTAGCAAGTGATGATTCTATTAAAAGGGCAATTAAAGAAAAAAAAAGCCTGAAGGCAAAGTGACAACTATAACTCCTCCACCCCCGGGGCCTGACTTTTTTCAGACTGCTCAGAACTGATATGATATGAAGCAATGTAGCTGGCTTTGAAGTTGAAAACCTGGGTTTAAATTTTGGTTTCTTACCTGTGTAATCTTGGGCAAATCACTTAACCTCTCTGGGAATCAGTTTTCTCATCTGTAGAATTAGGGGTTTAGACTACATAAAAATAAAAATAGCTTCTCCAACTTATTCCAGCATTGCTAAATCCTAAATTACACTGAGGGAAGAGTCTTTTCTTTTCAGTCAATGATTTTTGTAGTTAAGGCGGCCATAAAAACAGTACTTAAGATGCCTATGGCTTACTGACTACTTTAGCATGAACTCTCTGACAAAAGACTCGGTTCCCTATATCCTTACCTACTCCCCCCCCCCATCCTTAGACTCCTCCTATCTCCAAGCCAACGTCAACCTTAGCATTCCCCCTTCCCACTCACACAATCCCTTTTTCTATTCCTCCTCCTCCCCCTCCATCTCCTCAGCCCTTCTTCGCTCTCCCTACATTCCCAGGCCTCCTCGCCAATGCCCCGACCCTCCCAAACTTAGGCCCTATGGCTCGTCTTCTCGGCCCCCTCCCCACTTCCCCAGGCCTCACCCCATCTCGGGTCCCTCCCCACGCTCTTACTCCCCTATTTCCCCCGGTCCTTCCCTTTGCCTCCCTGCCCTTGCCCAAGCCTCTTCCTTTTTTCTTCTCAAAGGAAGCGCTTAATAAATGCTTCTTGACTCGACTCCTCAACCCCCTCCCCACAAGGCCCGGGTTCTCCATCTTCCCCAAACCCCCTCTTCCCATCCCCGCCGCCCCTCGACTCTTGGCCTCTTTCCAGCCGCTTCGCTCTTCCTAACTCCATTCTATCTTCTGACGGGCTCTCGGACCTAGCTCTAAACTGCCTCTTCCGACCCGGCCCCGACTTATACCGCTCCTCTGAGAACAGCCGTCGTTCCCTCGGCTCCCCCAGTCGCCGTCTCCTCACACCCTGACTAGGGGAGCTGCGGGCCTCGCTTCAGCCAATCAGCGGCCTCCCACGTGACCCACACCAGCCAATCCTCCGTCACTGTCCTCTCCGGCGGATCCGCTTCCATCGCCCCCCCACCTCCCCCACTTTCTTCCCAAGCCAATCACCCCGCGAGAACGACGTACCTGCCGCGTGCGAGTGCCCAATAACGGGGATGAGTTTCAAAGTCGGTCCTCCGCGACTGCCAATAGGAGCCTCAAGCTAGAGAGGGACAGCCCTTTCATCCGTTGAACCGGGACCTGCCTGAGAATTAAACAGCCAATCGGAGGCTTCGAGGAGCTCGAGCCGCGCTGCGTTTGGCCAATCACTGAACGAGACCTCTGCCGCTTCGGTTTTGGCAGAAAACCCGGCGTCCCCCGCTAGCCTGGAAGGCTACTCGTAGGAGTTTGGCTGGAAGGGGGTGGAACAAGTCCCCAGCCGTGTCGCGATAGGGTGTTGCGATGGGGTGTCGCGATTGGGGCGTCCTCTGCACATTGCCCATGTCGTGTCTTGTCACCTAGCCAGGGAACAGTTGCGATGGGTCGCGGAAGAGACACGTCGTGGTCAGAGCCCTTGTTGTAGTGACAGGGTCTCCACGTTGTGACAACAGTCTGGGAGCCTCGGGACGCTGAGGCAGAGTGGGGGAGCACGTGCAGAGGCGGGAGCAAACCTAAAAACTGGGGTCCCTCCACCTTGGCCGAGGAAGAAAGCAGGCGGGTTGAATGAAACGGCAGGAAGGATGGAGATCAGACCTCGGAAAGGATCCTGACCCTTACTGAGAGGTGGGAGGCTTGGTAAGGGGAAGTGAGGGGTGCGGGGCTGGGATTGGGGGCGAGAGAAGGCGTGCTTTCCTTCTTCCGTGGGGGTGGGGGGGAGGGAACATCTCATGACAGCTGAAGCTTACCTAGCGACTTGGAGGTCTGCGAAGCACTCTCCATCGCTCCGTTTCATTCGAACTTCATAATAACCCTGCAATTATTATCCTCTCGCCCCTTTTACAGATAAGGAAAGTGAGTCTCAGAGATCAAGCGACTTGCCCAGACTCACACTGCCAGGTAGTGCCTAAAACAGGATTTCAACCCACATCTTCCTGACCAGCTCCAGCTGGTTTGGGGGAATGAGATGACCTTTGGAGAGCTCCACAAGAGCGGAGAACACTGAGTGATCGAGACCGCCTTGTGAAGTTGATGGGGAGAAGGTTGGATTTGCTCTGGATAACTAGATTCCTTTTGCTCCTCATCAGTAACCTGGAGCTTTCTGAAGGGTTGAGCATTATCACCGCCTCTCGGGAAAAGGTGGTCCTGCCCCAGCCCTGGCCACTTGCCCAGCCTCACCCATTTTTCCTTATTTCCATGCCTCGGGGGCATTTTTTGAAGGCTGGTAGCCGCAGCTGGAAACAAGGAAAGTGTTGGGCTTAACCTAAGATTTGCTCAGTCTTCGGAAGTCAACTCCATCCCTACCCCTTGGTGTGTCAGTCAGCTCCATGCTACACTATCATATGGCTTCCCCCTGAGCCTGGAATGCTCTCCTTTCCTTATCTCCAAATTCTGGCTTCCTTGACTTGTTCCTTCAAGTCACGACTAAAATCTCACTTTCTATAGGAAACCTCTTCCAGTCCCACGTAATGCTAGTGCTTTCCCCTCTGAGATTATCTCCAATTTATCTTTTGCCTATCTTGTTTGTACATAGGTGTTTTCTCCTTGCCTTCACTATTAGACGAGAGCAGGAACTATTTTTGCTTTTCTTTGTATCTCCAGTGCTTCTTACAGTGTCTGGCATGTAACAGGGGCTTAATAAATGCTTGGTTACTTGACTTTTGGACGTCTAGAACTGGATTACAATAGGGCATCAAGAGGCAATTTGATGGTGCAGTAGAGAGTTGGGTTTATTGTAAAAAAAAAATTGAGTTTAAAGCCTTCCTCATTTTCTAGCTGTGTGACCCTGAATAAGTTACTTAACCTCACTCATTCTCATTTTCCTCATCTATAAAATGGGGTTGGTAATAGAGGTCATTGTGAAAATAAAATGAGATAGCATATGTAAAAGGATTGGTAAACCTTAAAGTGCTACATAAATGCTAACCATCATTATTATTCTTCCAAAGTCGACATGTTCAAAACAGAACTCATGATCATTCCCCTCTAAACCCTCCCCTCCTTTGAATGTTCCTATTACTGTCAAAAGCACTGCCGTCTTCCCACAGGCTCAAAGACTCAGTTTTTTCTCAGCTCCTCCCTTTCACTCTCTCCACACATCAATCTGTTCCTTAGCGTCCTAATTTCTATCTTTATGACATCTTTCATATACATCCCCTTCTCTCCATTTATATACCCCCCCCTCCCAAGTTCAGGCCCTCATTCCCTCTCCTGTACTATTATAATAACCAATTATAATTATTTAATTATAATAAATTATTATAATAACCACGTGCCCTTATTCTCTCCCCATGCCAATCCATCCTCAAGTCATTTGCCAAAGGGATTTGCCTAAAGCATAGGTCTGACGGTATTTCCCTTTTACCCCCCCCCATCCAATTAAATCCTGTGGCTCACTAATTGCTCCACAATCAAACCTAACGGCCTCTGTTTGATATTTAAACCTCTTCATACGATTGCCCTTTCCTACTTTTCCAGTCTTCTTACATGTTAGACCCCTTTACACACTCTGTGATCTAGCTACCTACACTTTCCTCATCTCCATGACCAGGTACTCCCACGCCTGGACCACTCTCCTCTCTCATCTCTCTCTCTCTTTCTCTTAGCTTCCTTAATGACTCAGCTCAAATTCCATGTTCTGCAAGAGGCCTTTCCTGGTCCTGCTAGCTGTTAGTGCCTTCCCTGCTGAGATGACTTCTCATCTATTCTGTATATATCTTGTATGTACGTACTTATACATGCTGTCTCACCCATTAGAATGTGAGTTGCTTCAGGACAAGGACTACTTTTGCCTTTCTTTTGGTTTCCAATGGCTAACACAATGCCTGGCACAGAGTTAGCACTTAATAACTGCTCCAACTCGTGAGCACCTGAGTCAGTCCCCATAGACAGAACAAGGGAGAGAGAGGTAAGTTACAAAACACTGTTGTAATCCTAAGGGCGCCTCTATTCTAGAGTCATGATGTGTTTTTTTTTTAACTTAAATTTACTTTTTCGATGAGCAAAAGTCTATTTTCTCTCTCTCCCTCCTCCTCCCCATTGGAAAAAAGAAAAGAAAGAAAAAGAAAACCCTTGTAACAAACATGTATAGTCAAGCAAAACAAATTCCTGCATTAGCTATGTCCAGAAAAATGTCTCATTTTACATAGGGTGAGGAGCTTTCAAAATCTTTACAGTTACAGTTTAAAATATCTGAGTCTTTCTGCCTCCCCCTTCCAGCTTCTGAAGGGGAAAATCCCTGGCACCTGTAACTTTCAGAAGGTGACTTCAGCCAGGTGCTACCTAAGTTAGACTATAAATGTTGACTGGGTGGGATGACCGATTATTTACTAATACTGAATGTAGTGGGGTGTAAAGAATATTGCTTTTGGAGTTAGAACACTTTGGTATATGACCAAGTTTTGCTACTTTCCACCTGATCATGGCAGTCCCTGTGCCACTTTGGGCCTCAACTGTTTCATCTGTAAAATGGTGGGGGAGGGGGGAGGAGCTTGATCTTGGGCTAGATCAGGCCTACACAGCCTTTGGCCTGAAATCCTTTGGCATGTGGCTAGCAGCCCGTGGACTGCAGATTGTGCAGGCCTGGACTAGATGATACCTCCAGTCTTTGTTAGCTCTCAGTTTCTATGATCCTCTGTGGGAAAAGGGGTTCTGGGGAGCTTCTGAGGTACCTTTAACTCTGAGATTCTATGACTCTGTGATAGCATCCTTCTTTTATGCAATGTCTTAGAGGAGCTGTCCAGAACATGGGCCACTTAGAAGACATATCTTTGACTCATGCATAGATGGCCTGATAGGAGCTCAGTGAGCAGAGTACATAGGAATACACACTGGGTTCCACTTGAACTTTTTTTCTGAAGCATCTGATATTAACTTCACTGTTGCTGGGGTTGTCGTCAGTTGGGGAATAGGGAAAACTAGGCAGAATAAGGGGAAGAACAACTTAACATTGGCCCTCTCCAACTCCTACATTATGACATGGGGAATAAAATAAATGATTCTGACTTGGCCTGAACCTTTCACATAGGACTGACTGTCCCCCCTCATACTACCACAATGTTCCAAACCTGACTCCCTAATATCTTATAAAACTCCTTCCCTTCCTCCCTTCCCCCCACCAGTGGAAGATCTTATGTGGTGAGGGCAAAGAGAGGTAGGGGTTGTCTCTTAGGTAAGAGACCCGACTATATATGTGCCTCATTTATAGCTCTTTCCTCTGATTCTAGGCTTTGGAGGCAAATAGGGACAGAGGGAGGCCTTTGGGTCTACAGGGGGCATCCGGGCCGAGAGACCCTTGGGGAGTGGGGAACCAGGAACAGATATTTCTCTGCTCTTTAGAATTTTCCCCATATTCCCATTCTAGCCCACCATTTCCTGGGATAAGACCATGCTTTCTAACCACATAGCCCTGATGCAAGGGCACTTTGGGTTTTTGGGGTTCCAGCCACAGGAAAAATTACAGTCCAGCTACAATTGACTTAGACAAGCATGGCACTTTAGATATAGGTAGTAGAAAGAAAACATGGTATGGGAAGGGAATAGGGTTTTGTGCTGCAGCCATCAAAAAAGCCAATGTGATCTTAGGTTGCATTTAGAGAGACACAGTGTCCAGGACTGGAGAAGTGATAGTCCTGCTGTTGTGTCTGTGGCTGGCCTCTGGTCAGATCACGTCCGGACTGTCATGTTTAGTTCTGGGTGCTAAATTTTAGGAGGGACTTTAATAACTGGAGAGTGTCCAGAGAAAATTGATCTGGGATGGTAAAGGGCTTCAAGACCATGCCCAGTCAGGATCAATTGAAGGAACAGGAAATGTTTATCCTGGAAAAGAGAAAACTTAGAGGAAATAAGATATAGTATTTCAAGGACTGTCATGTGGAAAGAGGAATTCAACTTTTTTTTTTTCTTGACCTCAGAATGAGGATCCAGGAACCATGGATGAGTGGAAGTTGTAGAGAGAAAACATTTGGCTTGATGCATGGAAAACAATTCCCAATCATCAAAGCAAAGGTGGTGTTGGCTGCCTTGGGAGGTAGCAGTTCCCCCTCACTTGAGGTCTTCAATCAGAGGGCTTGTTCAGGTTGGACTAGAAGACCTTTACAATCCTTTCCAATGCTGAGATTTGGTGATTTTATGGTTTTCATAGACCATGAAAGCAGGACTCCCAATAAGGCCAGGAATATTGAGGTCAGCCCTAATAGTAGTTTTCAGTGTTAGGTCAGCCCAACCTTGGAACATTTAGACTGTTGAACTGCTCACTGGTGATCATACCTTCATCTCTTTGGGGCTAATTAGAAGGAGGAGCCCTTTGGAAGCTGGGATGCATGAGACTGTCTATTAGACATTTGAAATGGGATATCCCTGGCAAAACCTCAGCAAACATAACTTATCTCTCCCCCCAAACCCACTCCTCTTCCAGACTTCTCTATTACTGTAGAGTCCCCCATACTACCAGTTGCCTCGGTTTGTAACCTTGGTGTTATCTCCAACTCTTCATTCTCCCTCACCTCACATACCTAATCCATTGCCAAGTATTTCAAAGCTGATCTTTTCTCTCTACTCAACCAACCATCACCTTGGTTCAGGTCTTTCCCATCTCTCACCTGTATTATTGCAATGGCCTCCTAACTGGTCAGTCCATCTCAGGTTTCTCCCCTCTACAGTGACTTGTCATGAGTATAGATGTGACTGAATCACTCTTCCACTCTAGTGGCTCCCTATTGCCTTTAGAACCAACTGTCAACTCCTCCATTGAGATTTTAAGCTTCCTCATAAAGTCTCACCAGCCCTGTCATGCACTAATCCCTCTGTTCCACTCTGCAGTCCAGCCAAAGTGGCTTGCTCTCCATCCTCAGATTATAAGGTTTCTCCCATCACTGTGCCTTTGCACTAGGCGATCCCTATTCCTATAGTGCATTTCCTCATCTTTGTCTCAGAGAATTCTTCCCTTCAGACACAGTTCTAGCACCACTTTCTATGTCAGGGCTTCTTCACGTGTTTTGTGTCACAGATCCTTTTCAGCATTCTGGTGAAGCCCATGTTCTCC